GCTGGGGGGCAGCGGCCAGCCCAGCCGCGCCACGGCTGTCCCGCTGCCCCCGTCCTCCGAGGCTTTGCTCCCCGTCTCCCTAGTCTGCTGGTTTCCAGCAGACTAGGGAGACGCGGAGCAAACCCCGTTTGTAACTGCGGATCCAACGTAAGGCGGATCCGCGTAACTCGGGGACTGCCTGTACTCTTTTACAGATCTCTTCTATCAGGACAGGAAGCAGTAGCATGAGCAGTGGATTGAACTTAGAGATATGAAAGTGTAAACATGTGCACGGTTAACTGATGAGCCTTGGCTCATCAGTTCATCTTCATGGTTACATGCAGGACCCACTCCCTGTGGCTGCCTGTCTCTATCATGCTTGAACAGTACGTGGGGCAGGCTTTTAAGGCTTTTTCCTGTGATTACTGGTTCTCTTCCTCTCCATCCAGCTGCTGCTTCTGTATCTGAGGGAGCAGGGCAGGTGGCTCCGAGGGAGCCTGTACTCACAGGGAGTTGGCATAAAAGCCAGGGGGAGAGGGGACAGCATCTTTGTGGGAGCTGATAAGTGCGGGGGAACAACTTAAAAGCTGACTCCCCGTGTGCGCCGCCCCTCCCTCCCCGTGTGTAAACATATTACTACTGAAAATTTCATTAGTTACATGTTTACCTAAATAAGTGCATTTTAACATCCCAAGTTAAACTTTCCCTCATCCCCATGGATCGAGTGGAATATATTCACTCTGTTTTTTCAGAGTGCCCTATAACCTTTAGAGCTGTGGATGTCAAGATGCCTTAAAATGGGCACCTAAAAGTGGAGGCACTCAAATCAGAGGTCACTTCTGAATATTGATGTAACTAACTTACCCAAGTCAACACATGGAAAACCAGATACCTGAAATCTGATTGAAAATGCTCTTTTAAAACAAACAAACAAACAAAATAACTAGTTGAAGGCTAGTCTGGAAAGATTTGGTGACTAAAGTGTTGTCAACATGCACTGAAAACTGGTCAAACCTGTTTTTCTGCCTCCTGTTGTTAATATTTCATGGTCACATTGTTAGCACCCCTGTCAACAGAGAGAAAAGCAATGTGGGTAAGCATCCCACAGTGCCTGACGTCCCCTTCAGTCACTGTGTGGGAATGCACAATGTAGCACTATGTATTCTGGGAACATGAAAACTGTCCTGTTAGCCACCTCTTTGCTTCCCAGCCCTCCTGCGCCACTCAGATAACACTCCTTCCTGCAGACTCCAGCATCTGCTGTGAAAAATCACAGATCCCACAGTTCTTTCCCATGTTGTGTTCAATGTACTTAGGATCACGCACTGCAGCAGAGCTACTTACGCAGTTAATAGCAGAGGATGAAGACACTGATGGGGATGACACTGTGAGTGACAGGGACAGCACCTAACTGGCTTTGCATTGGGCTGTCAGATCAGCTGTGCACAACAGAGCAGCTGTAAAACCAGCACTGAGGTGGAATTGCACTGTCATGCAGATGTGGGATGAAGACTAGTGGCTACAGAACTTTCAGATGCATAAAGCAACCTTCTTAGAGCTGTGTGCTGTGCCGACCCCTGAATGGAGGCAGAAGGACACCCAAATGTGAGCTGCTTCCTTGGTAGATGAGTGTGTTGCCATTGCTTTAGGGAAGCTGGTGAGACTGGATTGCTATTATTCAGTTGCAAATCGGTTTAGAGTGGGGAAGTCTCTACCATCGGGGCTTTCCAAACTGGCAGGGCAATCAATGGCACACACATTCCCATTGTAGTACCACCGCATCTTGCCTCAGTGTACATCAGTTGTAAGGGTTACTTCTCCATGGTGTTTCAAGTGCTTGTGGATCACCGTGGACATTGCACAGACATAAATGCAGGGTGGTCTGGAAAGGTGCATGATGCATGCATCTTCAGGACCAGTGGGCCTGTACAGAAAGATGAATGCTAGGACTTTCTTTCCAGGCCAGAAAACTACAGTAGGGGATGTGGAAATACCCATCGTGGTCCTAGGTGACTTGGTTACCCCTTAGAGCCCTGGCTCATGAAGCCTTACATGGGCACCTGTACAGCCAAAAGGAGCAGTTCAACAGGCTAAGCTGATGCCATATGATGGTTAAAAGCAAGCTGATGAAGGTATGACTGACAGGCTGGATTTTTGGAGGATCACTTTTGCCCCCGACAGCAAGAGCAACTTCCCAAGCTGCCCACCCGTCCCCACGGCAATACACAGCAACTTACCACCTAGCATGCCTCCACCTCCTCTCCCCTGGCTTCACTGGAGCAACTTACTGCCCTGCAAGGCTGCCAACCTCTCTTCCCCACCCTCACCTGCATAGCAACTTGCCCTGTTTCTTTTCTCTCCCTTCATGCTCCACATATGGTTGCCAAGAGTCCTCACAAACATTGGGACTTGTGAATGATTCCTTGCTCACTGATAGTCACTGGATTGAGCCTAACCTTTCGTCCGCTTCCACCACATCGTTCATAACTTCTGTCTTCAGGATAAGTGTTTCTGACTCTGTGCTATGGGACATGGGGTCCCCACGCAGGATTGCGTCCAGGTCTTTATAAAAATGGCATATTGTGGGTGCAGTACCAAATCGTCTATTTTCCTCCTTTTGGTACACCTGCTGGAGTTGCTTATCTTGGCTCTGCATTGTGGAGTGTCTAGCTCATACCCCTTCTTTCAGAGGGCTCGAGAAATGTGGCCATGTGTCCCAGTTCTGATGGGTCACTCACAGCTGTAGTTGCATCAGTTCTTCACTCTGCACACTGATAGATTCAAAAGCTCTGATCTGGGCTTCTAATACTCTTGTCATCTGAAGAAGTGGGTTGTGCCCACAAAAGCAGGTTGTGCTATCTACATGTTTTGTTAGTCTTTAAGGTGCTACTAGTCTATTTGTTGTTTTTAAAGTTTTTTTTTTTCCAAAGCAGGAGAGTGTTTTGAATGATAGCCATCCCCCACCCCAGTGCCCTGAGAAGATGCCATGAGGACAACTATACAATGAGCCAGACACTAGAAAATGGATTTTTAAAGTTCCTGGGGATTGCAAGTAGAAGATTCTATCTGTGTATATGGCTGCAGATCAACAGAGTTTAAAGTGCTGGCCAGAGTGTCTAATCAGACATTGTGGGGAAACATGCTGGAGGTCAATAAATTTGACAGAAAACCTACTGTCATACACGCATCATGATTGCTGATGGTGAAGGGAGGGCATGAGACAAAAGTCTCGTGAGGAGATGCAAGTTTTTTGTCACCAAAAAGTTTTTTGTGTGGTGCGACTTTTGTTGCATCACAGTATGGGCGCTCTCTGGATTTTGTTGCCAGAAAAGTGTTTTTTTGGCAACAAAACTTGCAAGTGTAGAAAAGGCCTTATCCTGCCTATCTGAGGTCCTTCAATACGTTGGCTCCATAACCTCCTGCATAGTCCCTGCCCATTTCATTACACAGAATCTATCACTAAAAAGTATAATAGAATTTCCTTGCCTCCTTTTAATACTAACAGAAAGGGGCAATAGAATCCCTGGAGATTAATGGGAACATGGTGAGACTGGGGGTGGAGGATGGGGGGGGACTACAAATTTGAAGACTAGATTAAACTTCCAACAAAGTACAATTGTTCGTTCTGTAGTTCATACCAACTCTAAACATGCACAAAGATTCAGGCCACTATTCCTTTGTTTTGTTCCCTGACTAGAAGAAAATACGTTTTAATTTTATTTTTTTCACAGTTGATACAAAAATAACTTACACTGAAATACAGCATGCATTAGCTTATTTGTCTGCAAAGAAATATGAAAAGGTTAAGGCTGTGTAACAGCCAAAGTAGTGATGGGATTGTTCTTTTTGCTGGTCCCCATTCATTTAAAAAAATTGTATGGGAAATTGAGAACTATAATGAATTTGGCTGGAGATACTGGATTCTAAGTATATGCTGACAAGTTAAGTATTCCAGATGTACAAATGTAGTATTTAAAGTTATCTCCAAAATTGGCATCGGGGGAAGAGTTATACCCATTTTTCCTTCTGCATGCTTAAAAGCACATGAAAGATTATATAAAACGTCTGCTGCTTTGTTTACAGTACGAAATCTCGTCTTGTCCTAGTTTTGTTGGAGGACTCATTCTAGAACACAGAATGAGAGTAGTTTTAGCCCTTCCTCCCTCAGTTTGCGGGAATGAGTATTTCATAAAGAAAGCACTTCATTCATATGTCCATTTTTTTTAAAAAAAAAAAGAAACATTTTATTGCTTTTGGGATTTGTCAATCTCTATTTCAATGTTTTTGCCATTCTGACCAAAATTCCCATTTCTCTCACTTGCTCAGGTTTCAGTCTTCTGTGTGCTACATTTCTGCCAGTTCTCCAGATCTTCAGATAGTCCTGTTGCAAAAATAGAGAAGTAAAATGTCTGTAGTTTGTAAAACCAACCCCAAAAAACAAACCACACCCTTTCAGGCTTTCTGAGTATGTGGAAAATATGGCCAAAAAAGTGTACAAATACCCCCCCCCCTTTTTTTTTTCATTTGCAAGTTAGGTTTCCTTTAAACCCCTATCCCCATAAATGATTATGTATCCAAGGTATTAGTCTTTCAATTTGAGGACTTTAGGAAGAAGTGACCGTGGTGATGGGAGATGCATATGTTTATTGAAAGTCTTATTACTTTTTCATTATTGGCAATGATTAAAAAATCCATTCATTTGTAGTTTTTCCTGTGTGTGCATCCTCTTGTTCTGCAGAATCTAAGCTTTTATTTTTTTAAAAATGGTTTCCATTCCTTGTGGTTGCAAAGGAAGCCTTCTAAATGTGAAGAGAATACTGTCTTCCTAATTCTGCGGATGGCTCCAGAGTGCACTAATCCTGCTCAGAGCTTTTCAAAGCTACACTAGAGTGAGAACTGACCTGGATCCTGAAAATAATATACTGCTGCTATTCAGAGTCATAGCAGTATGTGGGAAGCAATAAAACAGACAAGAAGCTTGGGCATTCCAGTTTCTGCTGCTCCCTCTGATCACAGCTTAGCTTAAGCTATGTTCAGCAGAAGAGTAGAAACAGGAAGTATTCACTGGGGAAGATGATTAAAAAACAGAGGCCTAGAGAAGAATGAAGTAGTGGAAACCAGTCCACCCACTCTTATAGCAGCCAGAAGATCCTGAAGCTGGAAAAGAGACAAAGAAAATGCTCTCTTACAACAGCTAGTGTAATATACTGGATGAAGAGAATATTACCATATTTTGTATCAGAAACCTAACTGGAGGCTGATAAGATGGAATCCCCAGTAGGGATGTTAAGGACTAGTCGACTATCGGATAAGCAAATGCTTATCGTATAGTCAGTTGAGGTCCCTTCCAATTCTAGTATTTTATGATTTTCTCAATTTTTAGGTGGTACATTTCATTCTCTGGTTATCAGAGGTCACAATTTCAAAAACCTTATTCATAAAGTATATGTGGGATATGTTGTGGAGAGAGTTTAGTGTGAGGCTGGTACTGGGTCGGGGGGGGAGAGATTTATGGAATGGAATATATTAGCAAAGAAAATTTGGTACTGAAAGAGTAAAGAAAAGAGTGTAGGAAGGAGAAAACAATATCTGAGGAAAAATAGAAGGCAACAGTAAGCACACTAAGACAACTCAGGGAAAGACACACCATAAAAGAAAACAGGGGGGAAAGAAAGTGAGAAAAGCAATGCAGCTGGAGTAAGTTTTATATATATAAAGCTCATTGGCACTGTTGCAATTAAATACAGCATGCTACAAACATACCATGATTTTATTCCTTTAAATTAAAGATGGGGGCGGTGGGGAGATCGTGTTGTGGTCATGGCAGCACAGATATTTTTAACTCTAGTTTGTGCATTTACTTCTCAGGGATAGAGGATTTGGGAACCTTTTTCAAGCCTTGATTATTACATTTTGCTATTTTAAGTATTTTTACTTTTCATGTACTGATGAATAATGTGTGTGATAGCTATCCCCTGGTAAGGAAAGGCATGTATCACCTGTTCTTGACCTGCTGATTAGGGATGTAACAGTTTGGCTCCTGTTCCCATTGCCCCCTTTGAATTAAGTGTTGCCAGTTGCTAAGCATTGCTCTGTTACAAGCAGAAAAAGAAAAATCTCATGCATGTTTAGCAAACCAAACCATGTCAACAGTGTATTAGAGACGTGTCAGTCTTTATCTCTCAAAGAACTGAACAGCACAGACAGCCACTAAAAGTAAAGGCAGAATCCCTGTTCTTTTAGTTTTGACATTTATATAGTACCTTTTCATCTTTACAAAATATTGTGTTAGAATTGCTTGTTGTTGAAATTTGGTCATCACTTCTGAAACATATGAACTGTCTATCCGCACATTGCAACAGAACTCTGCTGTCTGGGACAGGAAATAATTAAGAATATTAATATGCATTTTAAGATCCAGTAACATTATGGTTGGTGAAAAGGAATGATCTAAATTGAAGGTTGGGCACAACACCAAGATTCACACCCCTTTTCTTATGCAAAATTCACTGATTTTTGTTAATCAGTAGCCAAGACCTAGAAGGCAAGATGCTGCTTGAGTGCAGTGAGAACGAATTGCATTAGTAGTGACTTGGAAAGAAGAGTTCCCTGTAATTGAATTTTCACCATTGCTTCCTTTGCCATTGAAATGTGGGAGCGTCCCATCAAGCAAATGACTCAGCCTACCTTTTACAGATGGGATATAGGGTGCTGTGGTTTCTATTCAGACACCTGAGATCAGCATTCTAACATCTGTAGTTTCATGTATATCTTTTGAAAAAGGTCACATGGAAACTCATTTTAAGGTTGTACAGAAGACTGGAACCAGATTCTAACTGGGATCCTGTCCCTTTCTGATGCTCAGGCAGTATGGAAGGGCCAGACTCTGGCTGCCACAGGGCATTACCCAGGCAAAAGACCTACTGGTGTAAAGCTGGCATAGGCATTTTCTGCCACAGCAGCTGAGGACAGCATAGACTAATCCTCAAAGTCAGGTAGCTGAAACCAGCTTCCTGATGCTGTCTCTGCCTCAAGCCAATCTGAGAGAGAATGGGACTCTTTGGGAAGTTTAAGCAGGTCCATATGCTCTTACACACAAAAAAGCAATTTTGTTTAGTCCAAGAATAAATATTTGTGAAGACAAAGCTGTTCCTTAACACAATGGAAATGCAGTAGCTTCTGAGACAGTCACAACAGATGCAACAAAATATCAGCTCAGCAAAGATCCAGTCTGTTGCTGGAATATACGCTTCATAGCTTGGCATCTAGGTCATGCAGCTGTACATATTTCATATAAGTTACCAGCATGCATGCTGGCTCAGCTGCTAGATTTAAAGCAAGAAAGTAGATGGGGAAGTAAATTAAGACTGTACTCCCAATGCATAAACTATTTTTCTACGTTAACTTACTAAGAAGTGAAATTTATGTAGACAATCCTAGGTAGCTGACATGCTCCAGGTGGCAATGAAGACTCTTTCATTCACTTTGTTTTGGCTCGCAGTACTTCATTTATAAAGACTGGGAGATTTATTTAAAAAACAAACAGTGAAGAGCTAGTATACAATTTAAATAACTTATACTTTTTTCATGGTTAGGCACTTGTACCCCTCAGGCATTCACCTTTGTGACATAAAGCATCTACCACAATGGGCCCAGATTGTACCTGAGAAATCTGTCTGCAGTATAGAATATTAAACAAAAATAACAGGCTCTGCATTTTCCTGGGTGATTGGGAAGAGTAAGAGCTTGAGGAGAGTGAAGTTTTGAAGCACAATATGGTATTTTAAGGTGTTTTAATGTATTTAAACAGTATGGAAAATACTATAAAAGATAAGGAAAAATGTTTTGGTGGTTTTATTGGCTTTTTACCTCCACTAGTTTAACAGGCTATACAAGAGGCTAGCATGGGTTCCATCTAGTTGAGGTTAGGATAAGAAAGATCAAATCCAGACTAAGGTCTGATCTCGATTAGCTCTGAATGACTTCAGTTGTCAAAGACTAAACATGTTGACTGTGTTTTAAAAACAGCAACCTATTTTGAATCTGTGCCATTGTCCTTTTCAAACTTTTTGGGAATAGAAAAAGGATTAACTAAAGGAAAAAGCTAGTGACATGCTATCTACCATCTTACTTGGGAGAAAAAGAAACTGTTGCTGAGAAGTAGAAAGGGAAATATGAAATATTAGCAGGTTGGAAGCTTCATTAAACTTTTTGTGGCAAAAACAGAGACCTACTATGAATGGGCATATAGTGACTTTGTAGGACAGGAACTGCAATTTGTTACAATTGTAGAACTTAGAATGTCAAGTGGGAAGACCAGATTGAGAAATATGGCATGTAGGCAAATACCAAACAGCTGTGGCCTATGCACTAGTAGAGGGATTTTCAAACAATGTAGAGGGAGGGAGAGGTCTGAGAGGGGTGGCTTTTTCCTTGTTTGTTTGGGGGACTGTATACTGGCTTGCCCATGCCCAGCCTCATGCCCAAGTGCAGGATAAACATGTGAAGAGTTTGATCTTGCTACTGCTACTGTCCTCCCAGGCTCTGTTGCTATTGTGGAGCATATCTGGTATTGTGCTGCCATCTTATTTCCAGACAGCTGCCCTGGGAGCCACATAGCTTCAGTGGGACTAACTCCCTATCTCCCTTCCCCCTCGGTCTCTTACGTTCTTCCCTCCCCTAGCATGGCTGTGCAGGTAGTCATCATGACACCAATCAGGGAGCTTGCGTGTGTGAAGGAAGGGAGGTGGTGTCATCACCCATGGATTGCCACTGCAGGCGGCTGGGATTCAGACAGGGTACATGAGGCTCCTCCCCAATGTGTGTTGGTTGCATTGTTTTTGTTTGTTTTTTAAAGAGCAGTGAAGTTAATATCTTCTGTGAATGTGTGATTATAGGGACTGTGCATTGCAGACCTGTGTAGAACCTAGTGGCTGGAATTAATGGATTGTTACCTGCTCAGTAAGGTTTGTGCTAGGAGGCCCTGGCAAGGCGGACAGGCTGATGTATTGGGAAGCTGTTATGCAGCTGCAGCAGAGTTCCTACTGGCTCAGAGGGGTACCATAATGCTTTATATGGGTATCCTTAGCAGTTTTGTCAAGCACTGTAACAGATTTTAAGTAGTATAGTGGGCTGGTTCTCACTCTAGCCAGGAAAGGGGTTAATGAGCTCATCTGGGCACAACAATCTCTCTCACATGCTTCTGTGGTCACCAGTAGGAGCCTTCCACCTGAATGATTTGCTCTGTGTCCCAGAGCAGATCAGCACAACATGCAGACTGTCTGAAACTGGCAGCAAGTGAGTTCACAACAGTGGGCAGAAATGGCCCCTGAATTATGGGACATTTCCAGAGGCCAGTTACAACACAGCAAACAATCGACG